TAAAAAAATTAAATTTATTAAAATTAAATGGAACGAGTATTATTCTAGTCTTTAAATCAAATAAAAAATTGATATTAATTTGTAGCACCCATATTATGTGTATTTTAATTAAATAATTAATTGAATTAAAATTAATTTTTATTCATTCTATTTAATTTAATAAATAAAAAGTATATTAATTATATTATTAATATGTACCTTAAAATACAAGTAAGTTAAACCTTTGATTATTGATTATTGCCTGCAGTATCAGCTGCACACGACCAAAGCTCGGGAGCAAAGTGAGTTAACCAAGGATCTTTTGGGCCGAGTAGTTCGGTTCTCCTTAAGCAAGATCGAGTTCGAATCTTGTGAATGGAGAAACAGGCGTTGGGAGAGCTTCTCCCTAATGGGGTCCAACGCGATTTGATTCCAAATTAGTCGGGACCCAAAATAGTTATCGATACTGAGAGGTTAGTAAAAAAAAAAAAAAAAGTGAGTTAGAAACTTTTTGTGAATTTACAGTTTTTTAGTTTTCTAAAAAAAGAAATTAATTTTTTATTTTATATATTGAGCTATAAAAATTAAAATTATTAGGTGACATATAAATATTACCTCAAATGATCCACTCTCATCTAATCATTTAAATTGTGCTCGTAATATTTAATATATTTCTAAAAACAATTACACAAAAAAATGTTCCTTTTTTTTAAAATATTAACTCAGAAAACCATTTTTTAAAAAGTTAATTTCAACATTTACGAAAGTTGTATTCTTTTTAATTGTTGTAGGGTTTTTCAATTTTCTTATTTAAAAATATACAATATAGATTATTAAAAATATATGAAAATATTAATTAAAATTAACTAATTATTTAAAGAAGTTAACCTCTTACTAGAATGGTCTTTTTCCAAATTAGTTTAATACTAATTTTTATAAGAGAAAAATACATATAAATTTTGATTCTTAGAAAAAATTAAAGTTTTAAATTTAAATTATTTTATTTTATTTAATTAAAACTTAATTTAAAATTTAAAAAATTATTTTATTAAATATTGATATTTAAATTTGGGAACTAATTAAAATTTTAAATTTTGAATTGGATTTCAATTTCTAAGTATAGGTTGAGACTCAATTTTTTTTTTTTTAAATCGAGATTGATATACACTAACATCCTTTTATAATTTATATAAAAAAAATATTAATATGTATCAATTTCAATTTTTAAAAATAATTGGAGTCTTAACCAAAGAATTGAAATATAAATTTAAAAAATCATTATATATTTTAATATAGTCACTTTCTAAATCTAAATATCAACATCTAATAAGATAATTTTTAAAATTTTGAATGAGATTTTAATTAAATAAAATGATATAATTTAAAATTATGACTCCAATTTATTTTAGGAGTTTGGAATTCATATGTACTTCTTTCAAAAAATAATATTATGTAATTTAAATTATATTAAAATATGAGAATAATAAGTATCAAATTTTACTTTAAAAAACAATTGGAACTCCATCCTATATTTAAAAATTGAAACCTCATCCTATTAAATGTTGATATCTAGATTTAAAAACTATTATATATGCTAATATAATCAGTTTTTAAATCTAAATATCAATATCTAATAAGATAATTTTTTAAATTTTAAATTAAATTTTAATTAAAT